TATATTTTTACCCTGAATTCTCAAAATATAAAATAAAAAATCCTATTACTTGTATAAATAGATTTTAAACATTTATTTTTGCTTTCACTTCACCCTTTATCGCTAATATAAGGATTTGACATTAAGATTTTTTTTTAAAGTTTATTATTATTTTTTCGAATCGGGGAAACTTAGGATAGAGGTATAGCCTCGACTTAAATCCAAAATTTTGATCTTCTAAATATCACTTTTCTCAAAGGATGATCACTGGACCAATAAGTGACAAATAAAAAAAATTTATTAATTGTATAATATACAAAAATTAACAAATAAATGTTTTAATAATAAATATAACAAGTAATTTATGCATTAACTAAATATCTACTAACCTCAACTAATAAGAGGCGTTAAAATCCAATTCCCCCTCAAAAAGGGAAAAGGGTAAATCAAGATCATCTCCATTTCAGAGATGTTAAAAAAATTAAAAAATTTTGTAAGCTAGAAAACGGAAAATTTATCAGCTTCAAAAGAAAGGGGATTCTTCTTCCCTTCCACCCACACCCCTTTCTCCATATTCTTACTACGATTATTATTTTCCCTATCATGGTTCTCATTTTCGTCGTCATCATCCTTTGAGAATATGTCTTGGACAAAGAATTCCACATCGATTTTTTTAATTCCATCAATACCCTCACCCGGCATCGGATCCTCGGACTCCGCAGGAATGTACGGTGGTCTCGCCATCTGCAGAACCATCTCCCAATCAATCCCGCTGAAGAATCTGTGCCCTTTGATTTCCTCCAGTGCGATTCTCTGCTTTGGGTCCTTTTCTAGTAATTTTCTGATTAGGTCTCGCAACAACGTCGCTTCGCCCACGAGCTCCGGCGATTTGGCGAGAATTCGGTAGAAGGTTTCCTTTCGGTTAGATCCCCTGAATGGCGTTCTGCCGTACAGCATTTCGTAAAGGACGACCCCGAGGGACCACCAGTCGACTGCGAAATCGTGGCCGTTTCCCAATAGGACTTCTGGTGCGACGTACTCCTCTGTCCCTACAAAAGAGTTGGATTTCTCTGTTGAGTCTGACTCGGATTGTGCTGGCATGATGCTGAGATCCGAGTCTTCCGGCGTGATCCCCGAGTTGCACCATTTGCTGAATGGAGAGTTCCGTTTCTTGCTCGCTGATTTCGGTTTTTTAGCAATGGAAGTGGGAGATGGAGATGATTGAGGTGATCTTGGTGGTAGTTTCGCGGAGAGATCGAAATCAACGAGCATTATGTGGCCATTTTCTTGGATCATGATGTTGTCCGGCTTCAAATCTCTGTAGACTATGCCTAAATTGTGTAGATATTCCAAAGCCAGAACCAATTCAGCAGCATAAAATCTGGAGAAAAAAAAAAAACAGAGAATCGTTAAATTTGTTTGGTTCCTGAGAAAATGTCACCAATTCGGATCTCAGAAAAAAAAAAAATATTGAAAATCAGAAAATCAATTGAGAAATGTTTTTAATTTACCTAATAATATCATCGGAGAACATTTCTTCGGTCTGTTTCTTCCTCAAGGAATGAAGATCCCGTCCTGGACAGTAATCGATGGCATAACCAACGACCTTCTCAGTAACCAAAACTCCACGCAATCGCGGCAGAAGAGGATGATTGAGGCTACTCAAAACCTGTCGCTCGAAGAAAACTCTCTTGTTCTCCTTACTCTTCTTCTCAGTCGAATCTCTCAATATAACCTTTAAAGCTAAAACCTCGCCAACCTCTTCATCTCTGGCGAGAAACACCACTCCCTTGGCTCCGCGCCCCAGCGCGGAGACAGCTTTTAGACGATCGAGATCTAGAACTGGTGCTGAATGCCGGTCACCGAGACGATGCTCCTCACCGTCAATCATGGCGGAGTAAAGCTGTTGATTGTCGATTTTCAGGTGAGCAGAACCCCAAGAAGCTGGAGAGACCTTTTCGCCTCCTTAGGATGGGTTGGTGGGGGTCGCTGCTTTATATTGAGAGAAACTTTCGTTCCAAGTTTTTGCTTGCTGCGGAAGATTTCAAAATTCAGAGTCAGAGGCACTTACCTTTTATTGAGGGAAGGAGGAATATATAAAATTAGGTTGGGGCGCTGGGGTTAAGAATCGCGAGTGGTGGATTTTTGACACGCGAGCAATGTCAGTATGGGGGTTAACAAAATGGTGATGACGTATTGCATTGCGCGTTTCTAGAAACTGCGGGGAAATGGCATAAAGGAAAGATCGAGGCGTGGGGTGCGGGGCGGCTCACAAGAAAATTTCTTTTGTTGCCTTTGTTTTTGTAATATTATTCAAAGGAGCGTTATTACGCGAAGAATGACGTTTGGGAAATTAGGTTTGGATTTTGACTCTGATTTTGCTTTCATTTGGTAAAGAATTTGGGATAAATACTTATTTTTAATTTTTCATCTTAATAAATTTATAAGTTTTTATCCATCATTTTATATTATAATATTTTTGACTCCTTATTTATATGAATTAAAGAAAATAACCCTTATTTAATATCAAATTATGAAATTTTATTAGTTCTGTTAGTTGATTATTAATTCTGTTAACTAATTATTAATATTTATTAGCTGAACTAATAAATAAAATTGAATTTAAATTTTATATTTTTTATAATAAAATACTAATGATCAGTTAACAACGTTAACAATCAGGTAATAAAACTAACTGTTAGCTAACAAGACATTAATAAATGTTATTTTTTTCAATTTTTATAAATAAAAGATTAAAAATATTATATTAATATACGTAAAATGTTAAAATTTATAAATTTATTAAAGTGAATAACTAAAAATAGATTTTTACGAGAATTTTGATGGATTTTTTTTAACTTCTTTTGGGTTTAACTACGGATTCTACTTGGGTTCTACTGTCGATTGCAATAGAAAAAGGGGTAAGGTTAAATGGCAAATTTTAGTGTCTTAAATGTTAAATTTTAAATGCTTTTAGTTCTTAAATTATTTTAAATACATATTTTTTATCTTTTAATTCTAAAAAGTTTTTTTTTTTTTGTCATTTTACCAATTAAGTATGATGTAGTCCCAAACTTAATCCAAGATAATATATATATATATATATATAGAATGATAATTTATTTACATATAAATATTATATACTATATTTATATAAAATTTTAATTATTTATTTTTTTACTTTCAATAACTGAGATTTTATTATAATGCTTTAGATGAAAAGAAAATCTTACTATATTACGCACTTAAATTTACCTTAAATTCTTGATTAAACTCTTAAATTTTTATTAAAGTAAATAAGTCTTTGAACTTAATAATCTGAGTAATTTAATCATTTTTTTATAGCAAACATAAGTAAATAAGTCTCTTAAATCGTTACTATTTCACTTGCATAAATAAAATATTGACATGTCATTATTTACATGGTAGCTATTGAACTTGTTTATACAAGGAAGGCACAAACTAATATTAAGTTTGCTATAAAAAAATAATTAAATTATTTAAATCATCAATTTAAGGGTTTTTCTGCTTCAATAAAAAGTTCAAAAGTTTAATTGAAAATCTAAACAAAGTTTGAGTGCTTAACATATGATTTTACCAAAATTATCAATAAATCCTGAATAAATACTTGAACATTTAAAAACTCATTTAAAATTTTTAATAAATTCCTTTAAAATACCCATAAAATCCCAAAAGAAATCCAACAAGCATCTTTTAAGAGTTTAAAGCTCACCTCAAATTTAGGAATCTGATATTCTAATTCAAATAGTATATTATTACTCGATTTTAATTTAATCTCTAGACTTTAATACAAATTCTAATTAAATTTGGACTCAAATTTTAATAATTTTATATTATATATTATATAGGACATATAAGAATTGCATTATTATCTTACTATTTTTCTTACTATATTATAAAAATTATTAAATTATTTAATA